CGCTGCCCGCTGCAGTCCCGCGCCCGCCCCGCGCCCGCCATGTCCGAGATCCTGCCCTATAGCGAGGACAAGATGGGCCGCTTCGGCGCCGACCCGGAGGGCTCGGATCTCTCCTTTAGCTGCCGCCTGCAGGACACCAACTCCTTCTTCGCGGGCAACCAGGCCAAACGACCCCCCAAGCTGGGCCAGATCGGCCGAGCCAAGCGAGGTACGGGGCCGGGGCGCGGAGTTGCCGCCTGACCCAGAAACCCTTCTCCGGGCGCCTCACGCCTGCCGCTCCCCGCCGAGCGCCCACAGCTCCTGCCGCAGCCCAGCGCAGCCAGCCGCTCCTCCGGCCGGGGCGTCGGGGGGGTGTCCCCGCTGGAGTGTTGTGTCCCTCTCTTCCCCTCTCCTGGGAACGCAGTGCCCCGGATTCGATGCTCGCCACCTCTGGAAGCAGAGCCTTGGGACCAAGGCGAGGGGGAGGGGTCGGTCGTGGCATCTGGGGCTGCCTGGAAGCGGGGACGCAGGGCGACAGGCCGGTTCCTCCGGATCAAACACTTAAGTCAGGGGATGCTACGGAGAAGCCTTCCGGTGGCGAGAGGCGTCCGACTGGAGAGAGGGCAGGGAGGCTGGGGATTCGGCTGTCCTGGTTGTTTGCGCGGGGAGGGGGCTCCGTTAGTGCCAAGAGCGGCCAGAACAGGATAGGGAGAGGGTTGGACTGGTCGGAGATTCCGCTTGAGCGCAGGCGAGGAGGGGGTTCTCTTGAAATGAGGGTTGGAGAGGGGAGATCCCATGAGCAAAAGGTATTTATTGAGCTCAGATGGCGGAGGGTTCAGGCGGCAGGAGGATTTGGACTGGGAGGTTGAATGGCGGGAGCCTTTGGAAGAGGGGCGTTCCGTCACGGGGCGGGGCGGGGGGGTCTGTGGGAACCGGGCTGGCAGCGGGTTGGGGCGGCAGGAGAGTCGGGATGTAGAGCGCATTCCGCGGCACAGGGGCCCAGGGGGCGTCGCTGGGCCACGGGCAGGAGCTGCGCGGGGTGCGAGGACGCAGTGCCCACTCGCCGCCGCCCCCCGAGGCCGCGCGGCTGACGCGCTTTCTCCCTGCGCAGTGGTGATCGAGGATGACCGGATAGACGACGTGCTGAAGGGGATGGGGGAGAAGCCACCGTCCGGAGTGTAGACGCGCCGCTCGGGCGGCAGGCTCCGGGCCCAGCCCCGCAGCGGCCAGGAGCGCGGGCCGGTGATGCGGCT